CCCCAAAACCCCAAAACCCCAAAACCCCAATTGAAATTTCATTAAAAGCAAATGATGGTATTTAAAAATAAAGCATAGTAGTAATTATAGTCTTCATAATTGCTTATCATTAATTTCTTTTTTCAATAATCTATCCTCCATATCCAACAGCAAATATCCCAAATAATGTAATAATTGCTCCAATATAAGTATACATACCTGGAGCTTTATCTATATTCAAAAGACATGACAATGATTAGGAAATAATTGGCTCAAACAAGCATGCTATCAGAAAAACAATTGGAGGGTAGTATTTCAAAACCTCCATATCAGTATATAGGCACACAGCTCCACAGAAAAATCCCAACACAAAGAGATTATATAGAATATACTGAGAATTCATGAATCCCCAGACACCTGTTTCGATTCCTCTATCAAAGGTAAAGTTATTGAAAAGTAGTCCGTATATGATGATCATAATGTTTGAAACTATCACAAATATTGTTACTGTTACTGATGAAGGTGTTTTCTATGCAAGTTTTGCATTTAATTGATAGAAAATAGCACTTGAGAATGAACAAAGAATTCCACTAATATCGCCAATTAAAATATTCAAATTATCAGGTTATACCTTTTCTACCTTTTCGTCATTGACTGATATAAAGGATCCTATAAACGCAAGAGTTAAACCTATAATTTCTAGCTTGTGCACAGGTTTTTTAAGAATAATTCTATAAATCACTAAAATGACTCCTCCAAAGTTAGAAAATATTGCCGCGTGAGACATTATTGTATTTTAACCGCTTATCAAATATGTTATCTGCACCATATTGAAAGTGATACAAGTCTTAAAAAGTAATGTTCTAATTTCTTTGTTAAATAGAAAACTTTGAATTTTGAATTATTTGTACGAGGTTTAAAGTTCTATGATTGACATAACTATTGTAAATGGTATCAAGTTAGAATTTCACCAACAAAGTTTTAGCAATGTTATCTTAATAGGTAATGCCACTTAAAATGGTAAAATCGCTGCTGTAGAAAATACTGCTAGGATCAAAATCAAACTTCCTACAATGCTAAATTTGTAACTAGGTTTTCTCATTATCAAATCAGTTTTTTTATTAGCTTCATTCTTAGTTAATTTGGTTAAAGGTATATTTATTTGCGATTATAAATCTTATGTCGAAACTTTCTTATCATTTCTTGTTATTAATGGTAATACAACTTCATATTCATTATTAGTATTTTTCGCTGGAGTAACTGGTTTTTCAATGTTCATGCTAGAAATCATAATTCTTAATATATTATTTAATAAAATATTAAATCGTTTTAGATTTACATTATTAAACATGTTCATAAAATTGCTGTCTATGGGGTTTTGGGGTTTTGGGGTTTTGGGGTTTTGGGG